GCCTAATTTCCCGGATGCAGCTGATATACCATGTCCTGTGGACCGATATCTTGTAGGAAAAACTTCACTTGGCACGACAAATGTAGTAGCATTAGGTCCAAAATTTTGAAATAACTAATAAAAAAAGTTGTTAAATTTGTTGATATTTAAATGATAGAAAAACAAATAGATTAATATTAACCTGACATAATGAGAATACTATAATGAATATTGCCATATATTGTTTTATAAATCGATAACCAAATCCCCAAATCAAAAATAGCACAGTAAGAATTACAAATCCCATTAATTGAATCTTTATACGACCCCACTTATCTATTAAAAAAACGGTACACCAATATCCTGGTATCGTGCCCAATATGGTGATGATGATGTTGCCAACAGACAAATTCCAAAGAGTTGAGAAGGTGTCTTGACTATCACCAAATCCAATGGCTTGCAAGATGTTCAATCCTATGTCTTTAAGGGACACATTCCATGCATGTTAACTATTGAAATACATACTGTAAATAGCCGTATACAAGGTTTGAGTTTGTTACATTCCACCAATTTTATCTATAGCACACAGCTAAAAGTTTATGCCGTAAAAAGGAATTTTTAAAGCGCATACAAATCTTGCATTTATAATAAATATAATCTAGATTCTAAGGGGTCTACTGTGACCATTTACAGTAAATGCATAGAGATGCAATTAAGTTTAAACTAAAATTTATTTACCCTAAAAGGCTAAATCTAATACGAACCATGAGATTGAAATTCCTAATAGAATTTTAAAATTCTGAATATACATTTAATTAAAATTGTAATTGACTTTAAGAGCCTTTTTATGCAAGATAATTTTCTTACCTTCCACGTGGCATTAACAAGCCTAACTTTTTTGTTCAAAGTACCTTCAAAGTTTAATACGACATCAATATCATGAACTGCTTTTTCGATATTGTTCAATACATCCATCATAAAGTGTGGCGGTTTTGGAATAGCAAGCCGAAAATATAATCCTGTAACCGCAGGAATTACACCGAGTACTAAAACTGTTCGCCATACACAGTCAATATACATGGGATCTCTGTTTATGGAATTCCTGTATGCCTCCAAAGTTGCCGCTGAAACTACACCGGTCAAAATTCCGAAACCTTGCATGGCAAAGACGGCAGACACCACTGCCTGAATAAAATAGTTGTAAAATTAGAATTTTTTTTTTTAAAAAAAAAAAATTTTTTTGGATATTTGAAAATTAAATTATTAAGTTTCACGTACACCTCTTCTCTTAACGTCGCAAATTCACTCGTAATAACTTAAAATATTAAAAACGGATGTTAATATCAAGTATGAGATACTTTATAAAAAATTCGTAAAAAAAATATTTACTAGCAAACGCAGGACAACCTCCAATTCCAATACCTAATATGAATCGCCAAAATATAAGTGAGCCCCAAGTCATGACCGATAGTTGCAACGATCATCGAAAGTCTCAATATGATTAATAAATTTAACTAACACTAATTAAATTAAATGAAAAGCGTAAATGACGTGTATTTACTTTTCTACATCTAAAGTGATCAGCAAAATGCCAATTGGCCTATTAAAGTCCCACACAATGCCGACATTTTCATGCCCAGGTCGGTTTAACTTAACATGGCAGCAACAAAATTTATAACAATAGATCATAAGCATCTGTAAAGAAGCCAATACCAGCTACCACATATACTTTAATGTGAAACCATCCAAATTCCGCATTGTCTATTTGGTTAGGGAGAATCTAATAGTCACTTTTTTCACATTGGGGGGAGTTAATTTGGTTAAGATTTCTTTGACGTCTATAAGTTCATAAAAGTCATCGAAAAAAAATTCATCAGATTCCGGTAGGTTAGATGAATTAAAATCTGTAGACATTTCCAGATTTTGATATTGAATGAGAAATCATCTGGATCGACTTTGCTTTCTAAACTACGAAGGTAATTCTCTCAGCGTTCACGAAAAGCACGCTGATTCGTCGGATTTTGTTTATGTTTTTTGTTTGATGGCATGGTAGCTAAACGCTTGCGTCCACGCCTATTAGGTAAGTTAGACCCAAATTTGATAATAGTGTTACACTCAAACCACCTCTAACCGGTTCGATGCAACTGGGGTTTGATAACTTATAAATTCCTCACGTGCTTAACAGTTCAAGCCGTGAATCTAGAGGGTTTCAACAAGTGATTTGGGTTTCGAAAGAGGAAAACGGCTAAATGTATATGGAGATACAGATAAGTCGGGGTAGTTTCAAGAAGAGGGAACCCAGTGATATCTTCGTGATAATCACATTACAGGATTAAGCACTCGGCCTAAGTTAGGGTTAGTGTTAGGGTTA